CGACCCCTTTGTCAAATAGCCTAAAAAATAAAAATAATAAATCTATAATTAAACTTAATATCGTTTAACTTTTAAAGGCAAGAATATAATTAGCATGGATATTTGGGCGTGCTAATGTGCTAGTTTATATTTTTTTTTCTTACGCACGCCCAAATATTGACATAATCAACTTTAAGATACCTTAACTGTTACAGTAATTTGCGTTGATTTTAAAAGACGCCGTTACTGTTACATAGGAAAATCTCGTCTTACTGAATATCTAATTTTCATATAAATGAAGAAATAAAACAACAAAAAGCCTGCGTTATAGTCATGTTATGTAACAATGCGTATTAGGAAATCGATTTCACAGAGCCACACCTTTAAAGAACCAAATATAAGAATTTGCACTATAAATATAAAAATTTATTCATTGTTCTGCAGTCAAAAATTCCTACTTCAAGTTCGGAAGGATTTTCGTATAGAGATGAGCTTGTTGTTTCACTACAGTTGTATGGCTGCATGTATCGGACAAAACTCATATAAAAAACCATTGGTCCATTAAAGGGAAAAAAACAATGAGCAGTTAGAAATCCATATGATGAATAGTTTAATCACAATATTTTTTATTGTATTACTCGACTTTAACTTAGAAACGAGTTCTAATTTTAGTTATTCAAGATTTCAAAGAGAAATAGTACATAATAAATTTAAAAGTATAAAAGACATTTGATCTGAACTAACCTTTTTCCTTCAATCACGTCAAATAATTGATAACAAAATATTCTTTATTCCACTTTCTTCAAGTTATTAATACAGCTTCGATGTATCATTTCTTTACTCTTTCGTTATTTTTGACCCTTGTCGCGTTTACTACGTCCTTTCCATCATCCACGTTTCGACGTGATCTCGGCTTTACTAAATGCAAAGGTGAATTTCCAAATGAAATTACAATCGGTTCATACGACCCTACCCCGGCAGTTTCTGGGCAAAACATGACAGTTACTATCTCAGGAACAAGTACTGTAACAGTTCTTGAAGGAGCAACGGTAAACGTCACAGGACTGTACCAAGGAACACATGCTTTTGAGCATATTATGGATTTTTGTAAAGTATGGGCTGAACCAAATGGTGATAAATGTCCTGTTGCACCTGGGAATTTTAAGTATACTACTACTGTACATCCTGAAACACATCCAAATGATCCCAAGAATACTACAATTGAATATGATCTTATATTTAAAAGTATGTATTGTTTTTATTTTTAGAGATCTACAGTGTTCTATTATTGTATTACGTATCATTATAAAAAAGATCATTTATGTATTTATAATTTTTGATTTCTAGTTTCTAATCCCGGAGATCCGAAAAGAGACCTGTCTTGTATTGAAGGAAAGTTTTCTGTTTATTATCCGTAACTAACATTGTTACATTATTATATTATCATTTATTACATCTCTTTCGATTTGTTTTCGATATAAATATGTTCAAATTTTTTAACTAAATATCAGATGTTATATGAGTTTATTATATAAATAAAGTTACTTCAAATATATAAATCGATTTTGAACATTTTCTTAATTTCTAAAGCTTGCTCTCTTGAACTCGATTGCTAAATCAATAATATGAGTTTATTTGACACTGTGTGATATTGCAAAACAAAACCACGACGGTTTATTACATCAGTATCGACTATGGCCTAATGAATAATAAATAGGGTTACATTGAAAATTTGGATAAAAATGTTATATTTGAAAGTAGATAATAATTTTTGACTTTAAAAGTTAAACGATATTAAGTTTAATTATAGATTTATTATTTTTATTTTTTAGGCTATTTGACAAAGGGGTCG